TTCCCTACCCCCCCCCAGTTTCCTCTCCTCCTGCCCCAATTGCTTCCCAAACCTCCCCTTCTGTTCCACTGTCTCACTCCGTCTCTAGTCCACCGTCCAGTGATCCTATTCCAGCACCTCGGCCAGTGCGTGAGCGACGGTTAAATTCCCGTTATTTTAATGACCATCTTGTTAATCATGTTTTAGCTGTTGCCATGGATACTCCACTCACCTATATGCAGGCACGTAAGGATTCCAATTGGCGGGCAGCTATGGATGATGAGTATTCGACCCTACAACGGAATGGCACTTGGGAGCTTGTACCTCGTCCCTCTCGGCGGCCCATCCAGTGCAAGTGGGTGTTTCGATTGAAACGGAAACCGGATGGCAGTATTGACCGGTATAAGGCCCGCTTGGTGGCTAAGGGTTTTCTTCAACAGCCTGGACGTGACTATTCTGAGACCTTTAGCCCTGTTACCAAGCCGGTGACGATTCGGCTCATTATCACACTTGCCTTGCGGTTTGGTTGGTCTCTTCGGCAACTTGATGTTAATAATGCCTTCTTAAATGGCACTCTTCATGAAGAGGTGTATATGGAGCAGCCTTCGGGTTACAAAGATGATGTGCACCCCGATTATGTGTGCAAACTTCGTAAGGCTCTTTATGGTCTAAAACAGGCCCCTCGTGCGTGGTACTTAGAGTTGGCTGCCTTTCTGCATGGGTATGGTTTTCGGAAGTCTCGAGCGGATTCCTCACTTTTCATTTATGTCAAAGGTCATGTTCGTCTCTACTTCTTGGTCTATGTCGATGATATTGTTGTCACTGGGAATTCGGCAGCATCACTTAATGTCTTTGTTGGCGAGCTTTCTCGTCGCTTCTCTCTTAAAGATCTTGGTCCGTTGCATCATTTCTTGGGGGTTGAAGTAATTCCGGTTCACGGGGGTGTTTTTCTTTCTCAACACCAATATATCCATAACATTTTATCCGAACACAATATGGCTGGTGCTAATTCGGTGAGTACTCCTTTGTCTTCTGCAACTCAGCTTCGGTCTCAGGATGGTTCAGGTTCGGCCGACCCTACTGCCTTTCGCAAACTGCCGGGTTCTTTGCAATATTTGGCTCTCACTCGGCCTGATGTTTGCTTTGCTGTGAATAAATTGTCTCAATATATGCATTCCCCTACGCTCACTCATTGGCAAGCGGCGAAGCGTGTGCTTCGGTATTTGAGCGGCACTCTGTCCCATGGTCTTTTCTTGCGTGCTAATGTTCCTCTACAGCTCACGGTTTTCTCCGAATCTGATTGGGGAGGTCTTCATGATGGTGGCAAGTCTACCACCGCCTATGTTGTTTATCTTGGTTCCAATCCGATCTCTTAGAAGTCTGCTCGTCAAAAAACCGTGTCTCGTTCTTCCACTGAGGCTGAGTACCGTGCCCTCGCTCATGCCACTGCTGAAACTCTCTGGTTGCAGAATCTCCTTCGTGAGCTTGGTATGCTTGTCTCTGGTGCGCCGGTCCTCTTCTGTGACAACCTTGGGGCGACCTATGTTTGCAAGAATCCTGTGTTCCACTCACGTATGAAGCACCTTGCCTTGGATTACTTCTTCGTTCGCGATCTCGTGGCTGCACATCGTCTCCAGGTTTGGCACATCTCTTCCTCTGAGCAACCGGCAGACCTCCTTACCAAGCCGCTGGGCACTGCGCTGTTTACGAAATTCCGGTCCAAGATTGGCGTCTCCGATGGATCCTCCATCTTGCGGGGGTGTATTAAGGATAAATAGCTAAGGATGGTTTTGAATATTTGAATCTGTTGTTATCCCATGTATTTAGCTTTTGACTTCTTCTCTTCCGATCCACATGTGCAGGCTTGGCTCTCCTTGTATGTAGCATCTGTTAGTTAGTCTCTGTATGCATATAAATACTCCTATGGCTGTTAATGATAACAATCAATCATTCATCAATACTTTGCCTTCTATATAGCTTTCTTGCCATTGTCTCTCCTTGGCTTGAAGCTTTTCTTGATAAATTTGTTGAAGCATTTGATGACAAGAGCAAGTTCGGGATTATCTTCTAAATTAAGTGATTCATCATCTTCTTCTTCATTTTCCTCTACAACTTCCTTGGTGGCTTTCAATGCTATAGATTTCCTCCTTTGGTCTTCACCACGTAGATGAGGAGTAGTAGTTTCATATGTGAGTAGTTTCCCATGAAGAGTATCATAAGTTAAGACATTGTAGTCACTTACTTCAGTTATGGCGTTCACCTCGGATTTCCACTCAGGAGTCATACAACGCAGAATTTTCCGGACAAGCTCATGATCGGTGTAATACTTTCCGAGCGTGTCAAGATTGTTGATGATTGTAGAGAATCTCTGAAAATAACTATCAATGCTTTCATTCTCCTTCATTGAGAATAATTCGTATTCATGCAATAAGATATCAACTTTAGCATCTTTAACTTGAGATGTACCTTCATAAGTGACTTCGAGCTTAGTCCACATCTCATTGGCAGATTTGTATCTTGATATCTTTCTATAATCATCAGGGTTGACTGCACAATGAAGATAGTTAATGGCTTTGGCATTTTGCATGACGTTCTTCTTGTCTTGATCATCATATTCGGATTCCAACTTGGGAACACGAATTCCATCAACAATATTTGCAGGGGTAGTGTTTCCATGCTTGATTACCATCCATGAGTCGAAGTCATTTGATTGTATGAATATCCTCATTCTTTCCTTCCAATATGCATAATTTGTACCATCAAAGAATGGAGGACGTGTAGTAGATTGTCCTTCGGATACACCGGCTTGGAATGTTCTTCCGGCCATGATCTAGATTTCCGGCAGTAAAGCTTTGGAAATTCAGCCACGCTCTAATACCAATTGTTGAACAAGTTATGCACCTCTAGAGGGGGGGTGAATAGAGGTGTTCTTCAAAAATCAAAATTTTTGGAAGAATAAACAAAAGTTCGCAGGAGTAAATCAACCACAGGACAAAGATGAAGAGAAGGAGCAACACACGATGTATCCTGGTTCGGCCTAATGCCTACATC